TGGAAGCCAAGCCCAGAGCCAGATGTAGCTTTCATTTGGGAGAAAAAACCATGGTGAAAGCCCATTCTGAGTGTGAGGTAGTCCTGGGATGTAAGGAGAAGGAAGGGGATGCAGGTGTCCTCTGAGCCCACAGAGGGCAGCCAACAACCAGGTGTGGAGGACTATGGAGCCCACGGTGGAATGAATGCAGAACTCCCTCTTCACCCATTCTCCTCCCCACCCCTGTTTTCCTCTCCCTTCCGCTCCCTCCTCCCCTCCCACCCCCCACCCCCGGTAACAGAGGAATTCTGTATTCTGGAGGCATCTGGTGCTTCAGCGGCTCCTCCCTGACCTGGGACAGTGCTGGGGTCCAGGGGACCATGGAGGGGATACAGCAGCACCTGGGCCCACACACTCCCTTCCTGGCTTTGTCCCCTCTGTGGTTCCAGAGCCCCAGGTCTCCAACTCATTCCCTGGACTTGTCCACTACCTCTTCTCTTGCCAGTACCCATCTTCCTGTTTCTTCCCAGGCTGCTCCTGCCTGCTTCATCCTGTTCCCTGCCCATCAGACTTTCTCACCCGGATTTCCTTTACCCCACTCCTGACTCTACTCACCATCCAGCACTACCTCCTGACCAAGATCCTGAAATGGGAGAGAGGGAGGTGCTCTGCTCTCCACGTACCACATGAGAAACTGCTGTGGCACCACAGTTCTCCATCCTGTGTCTCCCCTCCATGCCTTGGAATGTGCTGTTTCCTCTGCTGGGGAATCCCTTCCTCCCCTCTTTTTTGGGCTATTTCAAGAATCAGCTCAGACACAAGGGGTGCCTTCCTTGATCTCTCACAGACCCTCTCCTTGGAGGTTCACTGTTCCTCTGAACTCTCTCTGTGTCCTGTTGACCTCTAACATGGCCCTTACCATAGGACATTGAAATTGTTCGTAGATGTGTTTGTTCCCCTAACCTGATCATGAGCTCTTCAAGGACAAGACAGGGTCCGAGGTCAAGGACCATGTCTCGGTCATCTTTGGATCCACTGCACACACAGCAGTGTCGGCCACACTCCAGTGTCTAGCACTTATTGAACCGCACTGAACACTAAAGAAAAGAATACTGGTGAGTTAATCAGCCCAGGCTGCCATAACAAAATACTACAGACTGAGTGGCTCAAACCACAGACATTTATTTTCTGGAGGCTGGAAGTCCCAACGTGAATGTACCAACAAGGTTGGTTTCTATTGAGGGCCCCCTCCTTAGCTTGCAGGTGGCCACCTTCTGGCTGTGTCCTCACATGGCCTCTTCTGTGCTTGTGTGGAGAGAGAGATCTGGTGTCTCATCCTCTTTTTTTTTTTTTTTTT